CAGGAAGCTTCTTCAGCTTCTTGGATGAGAAGCGAAATGTCTTCAAACACCCCCCCCCCCCAGAAACTTCCATTGCCTCTTGGAAAAAGCACATCTGGGACAACAAGTGGAACAGTTTGCCTTCAGTACTTCTTCGCTGGAGATCTTTAAGGATAGATTGGACAGTTATTTGTCTGAAATGCTGTAGTATAGGGCTTGACTAGAGCAGGGGGGTTGGACTCACAGGGAGTTGGGCTAGAAGCCTTCCAGGGACCCTTCCAGCTCTATTCTGATTGATTGAATGAACCATTCCAGAAAGTCTGTAAAATGCTCGTTCCTGAAATGTTAGGGATGACTTTGTTCTGTTTTTTCTCCCTCTGGAGGGGAAAGAGAAGCGATCCAATTCTGTTGATTAACTATTCCTAATCCTTAGAAGGGCCACTTTGAGGACCAACCTTAATATAGAGCAAGTAATGTGCTGGTTAAGAATTGCCACTGACCTGATGACAATCCATCAGTGCTATTACTGTCGCTGTGGTTGGTGAGGATGGTACATCCTAAAGACATTCCATTTTTCAGCTTTTAGAAGCAAGTCCAGATGTACTGCCAGATGTTTTGGACCCCATCCTACCACCTCCACTGTAAGCAAATTAAACAACTACATAGGAAAGCTACATTAAGCTGTAAAATAAAATGGCAGGGTGTCCTTAAACAAGCCACATTAAAAGATCTGGGGTGGTGTTTTTCAACTTCGACATGCTGGGGAATTCTGGAATTGAAGTCCACACATCTTAAAAGTTGCTCAGATGGAGAAAACGTTGGTCTACGGGAAGGGAATGGGCAAAGTCAATTCCAAATCACAGCTAAAACTATCTCCATCTCACTCCAGCTTTGCAACTTGATTAAAATGGATCTACACCATCTGTTTCTTCAAGGGTGCTGGAAGCCACTCAACCATTAATGATTGACTGTTTCATCCTAAATACTATGTTCTGGAAGACACTTCCAATTTTTTTGTTTAGATTTTTAATATATATAAATAATGTATGAACATGAACGGATGCAATACCCCTTCCTCGTGTTTTCCCTACAACAGCCACCCTGAGAGGTGGGTTGGGGCTGAGGGGGATGACTGACCCAAAGGCACCAAGATGGTTTTCATTCCTAAGAGAAAGAGCCATGGTGGCACAGTGGTTAGAGTGCAGTACTGCAGGCTACCGACTGACTGCAATTTGGCAGGTCGATTCTCACCAGGCTCAAGGTTGACTCAGCCTTCCATCTTTCTGAGGTTGGTAAAATGAGGACCCAGATTGTTGGGGCCAATATGCTAACTCTGTAAATCGCTTAGAGAGGTCTGTAAAGCACTGTGAAGTGACATACAAGTATACATGCTATTGCTATTGCTAAGGCAGAACTAGAACTCACAGGTTCATGGTTTCTATGCTAGTACTTTAACTACTAGAGCAAACTGGCTCTTTTCAGGGTTTATTTCTGAAACTTCCAAACCACTACCTGGAATGGCATAATATCCAGAATATTCTACACTGTAGAAGAATGTAAGCCTTCTGAATATTAAAGAAATGTTTTACAAACCTGTTAAGATTTAGATGACTCTGAGCATGCTGCACATCCAGAAGGCTGTAGAACCTGGTTTTTCTCACAGCTATAGGGCCAGGTTGCTAGTAGAGCCTCAATGTAGGTGAGTTTGAGACCCAAATTCAGATGTCAGGTGGCTTGGCTTTTGGTTTTTGCGTTTGTTATTGTTTGTGTTTTTACTTGTGTTTATGTTGTTTTTATCATTTTCTATTGTGAACCATTTTGGACTAGCTGTATCATTTTCCTAAAAATGGGTCACAGGTAGTCCTCAACTTGCAACCAGTGGCTTAGCAAGTGTTCAAAGTTACAACAGACCTCCCTTACTTATGACCAAGTTCCAAAGTTCCAGCAGCTCCTGCCAAGTGGTTTGCTTAACAACAATGGTGGTCATTTTAGCTGTGTTTTTTAAACATCTACCACAAAGGAAGTCATAAAATCAGATTGGTTATGTAGGTGCCATGATTTATGACTGTCATGACTTACAGCTGTGATGGGAAGGTTCCATTACTGAGTACTACCAGTAAAATATTGACTGAATTTACATGTGGTTTGCTTAGAAATGATCTTTTGTATTCACACAAGATAATGAGCAATAAACCCACAGTTTACAAATCCATGGTGTCTGGCTTCACCCTGGAGTAAGGTTTCCAGTGGAAGCCTTGTTATTTCTGAGGGAATGTAATGGAGGTAATTTCTCCAAATGCAAATGCTGCTCCATGGACACTCATTAAAGACTGTGAGCCATTTTTGATCCTTTTTAATTATAATACAAAGCACACAAACACACAGCATTCCAATTGCAGAAAAAAGAACAAGGAATTAGAAAGGTCATGCATGGTTTATCATGACCAGTTATAGCAGGAGTGTACAGGGTAATAAGCCATGTGGTGCAAGCTTTAAAATTCCCCTGCGCTAGCCCGAGAACCTCTGGTAGAGTTGAATGAATTCAGTCTCCCAAGAGGATTTCATTGAGTTAGCTTATAAAACTATTATTATAGATCTATTGAAAATAAATCAGACTGTACAGCTGGGATGGAGGTTTAAAAATAAATGTGTGATCATTCATGTAAAAACAAAATAAACACGGAGGGGAAAAGAGGTGCAGGAGAACCAATTGGGGAATGAGTTATATTCAGCTTGTGTGAGCCAATGTCACAGCAGAATAAAATA